CGCCCCATTGGCCCGCGGGGCCGGCGGCCGGCCAATGGCAGCCCGCCCCTGGAGCTGCGGCCCGGGGGCCCGGCCCGGCCGGCGCCGCGTAAAGGAATCCCAAGTTTGCAGACGACACAAAAGGCACCGGAAACTGAATCGGTCATGGCCATCACGGTGTGTGCAAGCCCGCTCAAGCCATTGTCTGCAGCAGGTGATCCGGGAGCAAGGGAGGCCGCCCCGCGCTGATCAGGAAAAGGGACTACTTGTAAATGTTTCCCAAAGCCTCCTGACTCACCTTTCAAAGGCGGGTCGGCAGCCGGCGCTTGTCACCCAGTCAGTAGCCGATCGCGTATAATCACACGTGTTCGAAACGCTCGCTGCGAATGGCATGCACACCTGTTTACTCGACCGAGAGCCCGTCCGAGGTGCACGGACAAAGGGTAACGCGGGCGAGGGCGGCAGACCACACGGGGGGACTAGACAGACGAAGATGAACCGAGGTTCCAATTAATACGGGGCGATCGGACGACAGTTCGGTCCTTAACTGCCCCTTGTAGCCGACACCAGACCACACCCCTCGTAGGGGCGGGGCACACCCGGCGCCAGGCCCCAGGACCCGACCGTTGTCCAAGAGTATGTCAACGTGGGGCTGGCCGGTGTCACTCCTTCTGCTCCTCTGATGGACTCTGCTGTTGTATTCGTACACGCAGTGATTAAAGTTTACTGTGTGAACTGTCAGTAAGTAAGCACAAAGGAGCGTTCCGAGGGGGTACCAACCACACCACTCGTTAGATCGCAGCGCGATATTCATGTGATAGTAAGTAATATTGTTCAAAATCATCGGAGGGTTAGAGTTTCTCGCCGAAAATGAGAGCTCGAGAAGTGACTAACAAACAACCCTCCCCACAGAAGAGATGATGACTCCATCCATATCCACGAGGCGCTCGAGATCGATGACGAGACAAAAGAACGTAGATGACTCATCAAAAAATTCTTTATGAATTTTTTAAGCCTTTGCTGGTTTCCGTTCTACCGATAATCCCATAAATTTTGGCGCGCGCCAAGGGGGCTGAGCTGTCTGCTGTGGCCATCGCACGAATACGAAGGTATATGGGCGCCAGACCGGTGGAGCAAAACATGTAGCTCTGACCAACAGGATCGCAATATTCTTCTTAGCTTCACTATTTGCTTCAATTACATTACTAAAACATTGGTTGAAATTTGATTCGACGAGTCCGTATGGTACGGAGAAAGGGATCTCTAATTTTCAAGTCTCTAGTCTTTGAAAAAGCCTACAAGATGCGGGGTGGGTGATTAGGGTGATCCGAGTCCGAGTACGGCGCGGATCACCCACCCACGGTAAAAAGAATGTCTTGAAATCCGAGGAAATTTCCTGGATTCCAAGGTCGACGAAAGTCCAGACGAAAATTTCAAGACTTTCCCTTGGAAGCAGCGGGTTTCAAGACAGAGTCTGGGATTTCAAGGGCCAATCTTGAAATTATCCACCCGACCTTATTGAAATCCTAGAAATTTCCTCGGTTTTTAAGACATTCTTTTTACCGTGCCCTGTCTAGCCTAATGGTCAACGAGCACAGGTTCGTCGGCCTAGATTTCCCGGTTTGATACGTTCCGTTGGTTATAGTTATCTGACCACTGACCACGCTAGTTTTTTTGTCCAGTACCTCGTGACGTCCCCCTATCAACTGAAAATAATAACAAAACACAAACTCATGTGTTGTCAGGGTGACGTTTAGGCAAACGGTTCATTGTCTTCTACGTTGTTCGCACACATTTTTGCCGCAAGACACAGAAGAATAAGATATAAAAAATAAAATGCGCAGCACACACTAAAATCTTATCAACTTTTTAATTCATACCTGATGAATTTTCATGCGGAGTGCTCCAGTTGTGAAAGTTTTAATAATATTTCAGTGTAAAAAGAAATTTCTTCAAACTGGCGAATTAACACTGGTAAAATAAGTGTTTAATGTAGCACGCCAATTGCTGTTTAAGTTCAAGTGTGCACTTTTTCAACACATTGTGGTGTTTATCTAGGTTAAACGTCAATTGGTGTTTAAACTTTCGACACTTCCGAAAAGTAGAGCAGCTGCACGCCATACGGTTCCTGGTTCCTATAGATTTGTGTGTGTCCAAGTGTGCACAATCTAAACGTTTACAATACGTTTAAAATGTGCACTCCACGGCCAGAGTGCGAATTGAGCTGAACACCATGTAATGTTTAAAATTATAACTTGCACACGTGGGTGTTTAAATTATGCACACTTGTTTTACCAGGGAAAAAGTGCGAGCACACACATGGTAGTTCATCAGCTATAAATAATATGCCGTATTTTTACAGCATGAACTTCATGAACTTCAAAATAAAGCTGGTCGTTCTAGCTGTAGTCTCTCCGTAATGGGGAGTGACATTTTAATAGTGTCCTCCACAAGTCCTTTTTCCAACTACTAAATACTTGAGAGCAGTTCATATTTGCATTACACTAAGCAGAAAAAGGCAAGCAGACACCACTCCTCTTGCACCTCCGTAAAATTTATGTCTCCCAGCCCCCCGCCCCCCTTCCCCCCGCGCTCGCCACAAATCTCACGCCAATGGGGCTTGTCACACCGCCCCCTCTTCCTCACCTCCAAAGGGGCGAGCGCTCTCTCCGTCTTTCTCTCTCACCTCGACGAGGGGCCGCCATTAAATCGATGGCTTTATCATCGGAGCCGAGGGCATGCAGTGTGCTGTTCCTCTGTGCCACCGACAGCGCAGAGGTCCGCAGAGGTCATAACAGCGGCGAACAATAGAGGGTGGCGTAGTAAGTGTTGTTACTGAGCAGACATACTCGAAAATGTAGAAGACCATAGAAGAGATCGGCGTAGGAGACAGGAAAGTCGTACTGCACATGTATTAACCATATATGCCACGCGTATGGCAGGACATAGAAGACCAAATCGCTGGTGGCTCACATGTGTCATACATGGTAATGGATTACAAAAACTAGTTTTTACGTAGCACGCAACTTCAGCTAATCTGCTGTTGAGCGAGTTAGGTTTAAAATTTAGTCAAGCAATGAAAGTCTGCACTAAAGCGAAAAAATTATCTTTGACTTTATTTTTGCAATCAACGTGGGAATTTGCAAACCGGCTACATCCGTTTGCGAAAGAATGCATAGGCCTACAATGCTCCCAAATTTTGCAATTTGTCTAGCAGTATGAGACTAAAACACGTATTCGTTTATGAAAGAAAGTTACAAAAAGTTTTACGGTATACAATATTGTAACTATTTAGCTTTCAAATGGCCGAGGCACCTTTTGGCCCGCCTTTCCATATCCAACTACTTGCTGAGGCAGTGGGTCCAGTTCGGGTCTCTTTGCGTCGTCCTTTTATGATGCCCCCTCTAAAGGTGTGACACTGGGGATTAGGGGCCCACCCATAAATTCATCCCAATTATCGGAGAAGAGAGTATTATAATTGTAGCAGAAAGGCATTTTGAGAGTCGAATGCGACAGTCAGCAAGCCGTATGGGGGCAAAGGTGCCTTTTGCACCTGCACCTGTTCATTGTCGCCAGAATAAGTATCGTAGAACGGGTACAGAGAGTGCAAAACTGAGGCCTATTCTACATGTCCAAGCACAAACTAAATAGCAAATAAATAACAAAAATTTTGTGTCCAGTGAAGATCCGTTTTAGAGCACATCTTAATCGGATGCAAATTTGTCACCCGACTAAGAATCTTACGAACGCTTGAAACAATATTTTCCTTTCTCCAGTGTTCACATTGTCATACTGCCATGCTTTCACTTACAGCTACCGTTAAAAATATTGATCTTGCGGGATGATATAAGCGGTTTTGGCGGTGCAACACAGAAATCAGAGCCTGATTGTCTGCCTATACTACTCACTGAAGGGAGCGTGAAGTTGTTTCCAGTGTGAGTCATACTCGTGGGAGGTAGAGCAGGGTACCCCTTGCCCTCGCTGCCAGACGGCACAGTGCGGTGCGGACTGGAGGAAAGGAGAAAAGGAGGGGGAGTGAGTATGGGGGCTAAGGGAGGGGGGGGGGGGAGATCAGAGTGGGTACCAGTTTGTCAGTGAGAATTATGTATGCCTTCATTTCGCCTGCCGTTTTGTTTGTCCGACGCGCTTTTCAAGAAGACTCACGCAACTCCACGGCTACCGATCCGGAGTTACGGGGAGCAATCCACGCTTCTTTGCGATCAGCCTCCCGCATATTCGCGCACCCAACAGACCAGGTGGGTGGCGGGAGGGAGCGTGAGATTCAGTGATACACACACAGAGAGAGAGAGAGAGAGAGAGAGAGAGAGAGAGAGAGAGAGAGAGATCATCCTCATCCAACAAACTACCCTGCGCCCCCTCTCTCTCCACCCCCCCTCCCCTTCCCTTCATCTCTTCGCTTTTTCGTCTCTTCAAGCACGGGGCAGGGTGAGCGTTACCTCGTTCTCGCTGCGGCAGCCGTGAGGCAAGCTTATCGAACATGGGAAGGGGCAGGATCGTGGAAGAACGTCCCAGGTCCACAGGGACACAAACTGCTGCAGGACGGACGCAGCACACATAGACAGAATCAAATCGAAACCAAGCTAAACTGACACGCTGTTGTCAGCTTTCTTCCATGCCTTGGCTGTGACGAGTTTTGTCTCCTGCCTATGAGTGATAATGAGAAATATGTTCGCCGTATCGAATGTCGCGAAAGATATAATTGATGCAAGGGGTTGACGTAATGGGATAGTTCCCCACTATCTCTGTTAGCCACAGCGGAGAGGGGGAGTGCCCGTGCCAGGGCTCCTGCAAGCGCCCTATCCTGATCTGGCGAGCGTTGGCGCATGTTGACCGAGGTAGCGAACAAACAACAAAGACGCGACTGCACACACTAACGCAAAAGTACACACACACATACGAACGTACACAAACAGGTACACACAGAATAATAACCATTGAAAACGACGCAAGGCGTTCGTCGAACTGTTGCACCTGTCAGTGAGCAGTAGTAGTAGTGCTTGTTGACTTACGTGCAGGCACACAACATCAAACGTGTTACCCCCCCCCCCCTTTCCATACACACACACACACACACACACACACACACACACACACACGCACGCACCCTCACACACGGGCACAAATCCGCCGGCATGGCGTTAGGTCACGCGCCGGGTCACAGCATGGTGGTGACCGGACAATAACCAGCCGCCATCATTCACACCTACCCTCAACGTCATGTCCATGAGGTGACAAAAATGAGAGAGTGTGTGTGAGAGAGAGAGGGAGTACTCACGTGGATATTGGCAGCGCGGGGCGCGCAGTTCAGGGCGACGGGAGCACGAGTTGGCCGGGCTGCCTGGCTGGCTCGCTGGGGCTGATTGATAAGCTCCGAGCCGAGACCAACAAGGTGTGCGGAGTGGACCGTCCCGGGCCGGGCCCGACACGGCCTCCCCCACCCACCTCCCCAGGACCCAGACCGGCTGCGGGCCGCCTGCTCGGGCTGGCCGCCCGGCCCGGGGCCCGGCCCGTCGAGTGACCTCCCCTCCTCTACTCCCCCGCACTGGTAAGGTACACCGGCGCACCCTGAGCTGTGCTGGGGCGAGGCGGAGGGTGGAGTGTGGAGCAGGGGGCGCCGCCCAATGTAAAGTGCCACTGTTTGGCGTACTGGTCGGCGCCCGCGGACTTTGGAGTTCTTGGATTTGTGCCTCACTACGTGTGTCCCCTTTACTGGTGACCCTCGGAGAAATCATTCAGGCAGGGCGAAATGGCAAAGACGCCCAGCTCATCGAAGCTCACGTAGACACGTCGTCGCCGGCCACCCAAGCCGCCCCCGGCCCAACGAGCTGGTGGTCGCCAGCCACCCCCTCCCCCAGCTTCGGCCTTCCCTCCTGGTTCCACGCTGTCTCCGGGGGTCTTCGTCGCGCCGGGCCCAGTCCGTCCAAGGGGAAATAGGCTTGAACTTCGGTGTACGTTTCCTTGAACTTCGGCGAACTTCGGTGAACTTCGAGAACTTCGGTGAACTTCGCGAAACTTCGAC